GAGAGAGAAGAGAGGATAGGGAGAGAGACGAGAGCGGGAGAGACTGAGAGAGAGATGGGAGCGGAGGAGAGAGAGGAGAGGGGAGAGAGGGAGAGGGGGAGAGAGAGTGAGAGAGAGGGAGGAGAGGGAGAGAGGGGAGAGAGAGAGAGAGGAGAGGAGAGAGAGAGAGAGAGAGAGAGAGAGAGAGAGAGGGAGGGAGAGACGAGAGCAGGAAAGAGAGAGAGGGAGAGAGCAGGAGGAGAGAGAGAGAGAGCGGGAGCGAGAGACGAGAGAGAGAGGGGGAGAGAGAGGAGGAGAGAGGGAGAGCGAGGGAGAGAGAGGGAGGAGAGAGGAGAGAGAGAGTGGGAGGGAGAGGGAGAGAGATGCGAGAGAGAGAGGGAGAGAGAGAGGGAGGAGAGGAGGAGGCGAAGAGAGGGCGAGAGAGAGAGGAGAGAGAAGAGAGGGGGAGAGAGAGAGAAGACGAGGGGTGAGGGGGAAGGAGAGAGGGAGAGAGGGGGGAGAGAGGGTGATAGAGAGGAGAGAGAGGGAGGAGAGGGAGAGAGGGAGAGAGAGGTGAGAGAGAGAGAGACTGAGGAGAAAGAGAGAGAGAGGAGAGAGAGAGAGAGAGAGAGAAAGAGGAGAGAGAGGTGAGGGAGCGGATGAGAGAGGGAGAGCGTGGGAGGAGAGAGAGGCGAGAGAGGGAGGAGAGAGGGGAGAGAGAGGGGGGAGAGAGGGAGAGAAGAGCAGGGAGAGAGAGGGAGAGAGAGGGAGAGAGAGGAGAGAGAGGGGAGAGAGAGGGAGAGAGAGAAGAGCAGGGAGGAGAGAGAGGGAGAGAGAGAGAGAGAGAGGAGTGGAGAGGAGGGTGAGAGAGAGAGGGTGAGAGAGGATGAGAGAGAGGAGAGAGATGGAGAGAGAGAGAGAGAGAGAGAGAGAAGAGAGAGATGTGAGTGAGTGATCGAGTAGGGGGAGGGAGGGAGCGAGGGAAGAAAAAGTAGGATGTGAGGGTCTGTATGGGGGGTTGTGGGTGGGCGCGCGGTTCAGATTCCAAGGTCAGCTGTTGTGTACTCGCTAGATGGGTTTCAGGGGGTCGAGACCCAGCTCCCGGCCCGCCCAGATGTGTATGTGTACGTGCGCGCGTTCGTGTGGGTGGTGTGGCACGTCAGTTGTGTTTATATGTCCAGATAAACTACAACTCACTTCTGGTGTACCCGTTAATACTATGAGATCACCATTTAACACTGAGGTAGGTTCTAATAATTATAATACTAGCGTTGTGTAACAAGTCACTCTTTGTCCACTACTTTTTACTAACATGTTGTACCAATACTTGCTTCTCAGATTGTAAGTCCTTTGGGTCCATAATACACTATCTCTCGAAAACTGTTGTCAGGGCTGTAGTCCCATTTGTTCCTTGCTCCTACAAATTTTATCTTCCTACTACTGCTAGGTGTTTTGTGTATGATAATCGCCCTGGAGCAGGGTTAAAGATAGCCAGCTACCAGTGTCCGCCGGGCCGGTTCTACCCTCAGACTTCCCGCCACCACAAACAAGTGAGATTTGTACGTTACTCAGAGGGGACGTCCATCCAGATGCCTGATGTACGATGCTCGCTGTACGATGCTCGTTGTATGATGACTCGTACACCTCGCCCTTCCGCCTCTGACTTCTTCGGCTATACTTATCTCTTGCCCTTTTGAGTCCTCATTTACCACACTTATCACTTGTATACTGCTACTTTTATAATTTTCACTCCACTTTTGGTAAGTACACTACTTATTTGTGATGACACCCAACCTGTTATGGCGGCCTACTCCCTCAGGCCTACTGCTGCCACCACCTCTGCTTATTTTATATTATGTATACATATATATATCCCTTTCTGGCTAGCTTGTTCACGCTGTGTGATACATCACATTTTGTCGTTACCACCCTCTCTTAATTCTATTTGGTCTTTTCTCTTTAGTCACTCGCTTTGTACTTTGTATATATGTAACAATGTGGCAACAGGTGCCCACTAGGCCTCAACGAACTGGCACTTTGAAATTTTGTTGTATAATTTCAGGCTTTCTCTCGCCTTAACTTTATTTATTTTTTCTAATACATTGGTTATCACTTGTAGGGTTGTTCACTGACGTTGTCACTAACACTGGATGCTTCTAGCTGCTAAAACACGCCCTAAAAGCACTAAGATCCTCGGAGCCTGGCGCTTGTGACCCACTACACTGTGTGTGTGTGTGTGTGTGTGTGTGTGTGTGTGTGTGTGTGTGTGTGTGTGTGTGTGTGTGTGTGTGTGTACTCACCTATTTGTGGTTGCAGGGGTCGAGTCTTAGCTCCTGGCCCCGCTTCTTCACTGATTGCTACTGGGTCCTCTCTCCCTGTGTGTGTATACTCGCCTAGTTGTACTCACCTAGTTTAGGTTGCAGGGTTCGATTCCAAGCTCCTGGCCCCGCCTCTTCACTGGTCGCTACTGTGTGTGTGTGTGTGTGTGTTTGATGGTGGTGTGTGTATGTTTGTGTGTTCGTGTGTGTTGGGGAGTTGTGAGGGGGCGAAAGATGTGTGTGTGTGTGTACTCACCTATTTGTACTCACCTATTTGTGGTTGCAGGGGTCGAGTCACAGCTCCTGGCCCCGCCTCTTCGCTGATTGCTACTAGGTCCTCTCTCTCCCTTCCCCATGAGCTCTATCATACCTGTGTGTGTGTGTGTGTGTGTGTGTGTGTGTACGTGTGTACGTGTGTACGTGTGTACGTGTGCATGTGTGCCCTCGGAGGTGGGAAGAGGGAGGGGGATACACTGGCAGAAAGGGATATAGGTGGGGGAGGAATATGCGTGTTGCAGGAGCGTGGAACTTCATCGTGGGTGTAGTGAAGGATGTAAGTATGTAACAGCAGAGATGTCACTGGTGTGTGTTGCAGGAGCGTGGAACTTCATCGTGGGTGTAGTGAAGGATGCAAGTGTGTAACAGCAGAGATGTCACCAGTGTGTGTGCGTGATGGACCCATCACACTGTCTTACTACTCACCATGTCACGCCGGGTGTCCCCATCCCACCAACCAAGACAACCTCACCAACTGCACGTGAGTACCAGTAACAGGTTTACGTGTCACTATAAACCCTAATACCCATATCTTCATGTTTTGTGTCATCTTGCTTACATATATAAACCTATATCATGTCCCAAACCTCCCATTTACATTTATTAAACTTAGCACTCAACCAATCTAAACTTTATACATTATTAAGTAGTTTTAAATTCTAGTTATAAGGTATTAGATTATTATTATCCTGGGGAGTCCTACAGTATTATTTTAGAACACTCCAAATGATGTACTTAATCCATAACTTTCCGTTAGTCTTACAATCCATGTCACTCAGTGTTGTAACCATTCATATTTTTTGGATATAAATATCCCAATCTGTTACTTAATGATATTTTTTTATTATTTTAGGGGAAGAATACATAATCAGACTTTCAGAAGTGGTCTAATACTTAGATATAGACGACTGAAACTTGTGCTGCATCTGGAAAATAATGAAACCCCTATGAAACTCTAATAATTAATATTTAAATATGTTTAAGAGTTGTTACCGTATGAGCAAATTGAACACTGAGTATACAGCTAGGCAATCTGCAGTATTATTTTTTAAGGCTAGTTTTAGCTGTATATTTATGCACCCTGACCCACATGGTTCAGGGTGTGGAAAGCTTGTTCCCTTGTTCGTTTATTGAAAGCTTACTCAGAGGCGTCGCTAGGGTTGGTGTCACCCGGGGCGGAATCATTGGTGTCACCCCCCATGAAATCCAAGGGCGGGGGGATAGGGGTAGTAAACTCCAGTTACATCACTGCTGCATGACCAGTTACATCACTGCTGCATGACCAGTTACATCACTGTTGCATGACCAGTTACATCACTGTTGCATGACCAGTTACATCACTGCTGCATGACCAGTTACATCACTGCTGCATGACCAGTTACATCACTGCTGCATGACCAGTTACATCACTGCTGCATGACCAGTTACATCACTGTTGCATGACCAGTTACATCACTGTTGCATGACCAGTTACATCACTGCTGCATGACCAGTTACATCACTGCTGCATGACCAGTTACATCACTGCTGCATGACCAGTTACATCACTGCTGCATGACCAGTTACATCATGTTGCATGACCAGTTACATCACTGTTGCATGACCAGTTACATCACTGCTGCATGACCAGTTACATCACTGTTGCATGACCAGTTACATCACTGCTGCATGACCAGTTACATCACTGTTGCATGACCAGTGACTAATGTTTAGCAATAAGAACGTTTAAAGTCCATAAACCGAACTTTATTAATGATAAAATAAACAATCGTAGTAATATTGAGGAAACATAAACTCAAATACCACTTTGAGTACAGCAACAGATCCTACATTATTCATCTTCAACAATGAAAAAAAAGCTTGAAAAATAAATAAAAACACTAGTTCCGACTTAACCTGAGTACAGGTAACATCTCAAAGAATCTGACATTTCATTTCCTTGCCTTCAATCCTGCAAAATCATCTATCATATAATCAAAATCAATGATTTTCCCTATATAGGCCTATTTGTACTGTGTAATCCTATAATAGACTATATAGAAACGAAGAATTTTTCTCTTAGGTTGCTGCAGCATGGTTTTGGTCATTAGTGTTACCTTCTTTAGAGGCTCTATGATGTCACCCCTAAATGGTGTCACCCGGGGCGCCCCCCCCCCCCCGCCCCCGCCTTACGACGCCTCTACAGTTACTTGCTATAATTCCTAATGGTTTTTACCTTACAAATGCATGAAAATATTAGTATATTCATAGGAATGAGGGAAGAGAATCACACTAAATCCATAGGGATCATACATCACCAGGAAAGTCAGATTCGATCTTGTGTACCGTACCAGTCTCAAGTGTTAATTTACAATTAAAGAGCTGCTACTTGTTCCAAAGTATGCCTTGCACAAAGGATCTACAATAATATATGTTTGTGTACTGCAGGTGTGGAAGTGCAGCTGCCCAGATAACTCGGGGATATTGCCGGGACAAGTGTTCAATTTTTGTGCTGTACAATGTGGTTAACTGCATCACCAAGTCTCTTCTCTCAGTAACCATCATCGGCAGCCTCCTCATTACACTAAGGTAAAAACCTTGCAACACTCGTATAACAATCATGTTCTCGCCTTTATCTCTGCAGAATCCTCATATGTTTTATGGACTGGTGGCATCTAGTGGACATTTTGCAGCTGATTATTATATTTAGAGGCAAGAATTGCTCTATGGTCCATGAAAGTTTTGTACAACATGATAACTCGGGGGAAAATGATGAACCCGTGTGGGTCATAGTGCTCAGTTTGATGAAAAGGATGGGTTCGATTCTTTGGATCAGGAGCCTCCGTCACCACAGCAAGGATAGATAGATTTTGCCACCGAAGTGGCTAGTTTATTGTGCACCCCATATCCATCCTGTGGACAGTAGCGCGAGAGCATATGGATACACAAAAGGCCTAGGAACTAGGCCCCAAAGGGTTAACAGGAATACATATGGATTTATATCTACATATCTATAGTTCACTTATCTGTTACAAGCAAATTTAGGAAATTTGCTTAGTATATCTGGTATCTTATTTTCATTAATAAGATATCTTGACATGTCACATAGGTTATTATACTGTCTGTCTCTGTATTCTTCAATAAGTGGACAATTAAGCACATAGTGTTCAAGACAGTGACCATATGCCTGATCACATAATTTACATTTAGTTTGATCATCATCTGTGTGTCTCCCCAAATTGCCAGAAGTACTTGTAACCAAGCCTAAGCCTGGCCACTACAACATCAGTCAGTCTGTTCACATTGCACGTTGCTCCATAAACATACTTATCTACGTTCATGTTATCATAGTGGGTTATAGATCTACTCAGGCTTCTAACTGCATTCCTATAACAATAATTTTCATTATTTACTTCTCTCCTAATATTATTCCTAATGCTAGACACAGTTATACCAAAGTTATATTCAACATTCTCTTTCTGGGTACTCTTCTTGGCTAACATATCAACTTTATGAACATTAAAATGGTATAAAATACCGACAGGTTGTTAGGTAAGACACATATGCAACAGTTAGGTATCTTTATTTCGAAACGTTTCGCCTACACAGTAGGCTTCTTCAGTCGAGTACAGAAAAGTTGATAGAAGCAGAAGATACTTGAAAACGATGTAATCAGTCCAACACCCTTGAAGTTTTGAGGTGGTCAGTCCCTCAGTCTGGAGAAGAGTATTGTTCCATAGTCTGAAACAATATGGAGTTGAAGTGTATGTATAATGTTCGCCAAGACCGTAGTCCTGGCACGGGTCTCAATCTTGCGATGACCCGTCTCTGGCTCCCGAGGGAGAAAGGTTTCTACAGTGATGCGACGTATGCTGCTCAAGCACTCTTCTGGTCAGTTCAACTGGTGCATCTCATAAGCGACACCATATGTACTCCTAACTGTGGACACTAGCGAGGAGGAGGATATGTCGTTATCACAGGTAACAGCTTGTCTGGTTCGTTGACTCCATGGTATACTAGTGTGGCCGCAGTCATCTCTGGGTCCTCGTCGGGAGGGAATATCACTCCTAGTTGCCTGCGGAGTGTCTCAGTAACTTCGCGCTCCAGAAGATAGTGTGTTAGGGGCCGCTGGACAACGTGCTGACAGTACTGGCACATCTCCTCCTCAGCCTTGTCTACCATCATCTTGGCTGTGAGAAAGCCCAAACGAAGCCGATGGATGGCGGTACACTGTGCTCTGGACCAGCTTCTATCATATGGAGGTGGTTCTCCTTGAGTCGCTGCTCGGTACCACTGTTGAGATGGGGTATCACCTAAGACCTCCCCCATAAGTTTCATGGCTCTGGCAGCCACCAGTTTGGTCTGTCGTAGGCTGATTGGGACAGTAATCCCAACATGTGGATAGTCTGTTGCTGCCTTGGCTGCATCATCTGCCGCCTCATTTCCCCGGATGCCAGCATGGCTGGGGATCCAGTTCAATGTCGATCTGTTACCCTGAACTTCTAAGGCTGTCATTATGCTCAGGATCGATGTGATGATGTGAACATTGTCTTGTGGTTGAGGATGGGAGAGGGCATTGATTGCAGAGGTGGAATCAACATGTATGACAGGTCGGAGTCTATGTCGTAGGGCATGTGACAATGCCTGCTGAATCACCACCAGCTCAGCTTGAAGGATCGTGCAGTGGTCAGGGAGTCGCCAGCCTTGTGTGGACCATTGTGGTACAGTCCAGCTGCTGCCTCTCTTTCCTGTCAGGGTCGACAGAACCATCTGTGAAATACACTGCACATGTGCCTCCCTCTGCCAGTGCCATGCTTGTCTCAGCATGATTGCTGAGGGTATCTTGACTGCAGAGACGCTTAGAGATGGGTAGCTGCATGATGCAAACATCGGCTGGATCTGGGTGCCAGGGAGGTGGTGGATGGTACCCAGCAACAGGAAGGTCACAACTCTTCTCAAGGAGTAGTTGTATAGGCAGCAGCTTCCGCCCAGCAGCACAAAACGAACGAATCCAGGAGTAGTCCGTGAAGAGTGTGGGATCTTGTGCCATGGTTGTCAGTATCCGTCTCCTTAGTGGGGTACCTTGTTGCCGGTGCAGAATCGTGGCCACTTTGCAGGCGTTTATGTATCTTACTCTGTCAACCAAGGAAGGAAGCCGGGCCTCAGATCTGAGACATACTGTGTTGGTCCAGATGGGGGCCCCAAGCATAGTTCTTATCGCCTGATTTTGTATGACCTCCACCCTTTGCCTGCTCTGTGGGAAGAGATAAGCTAACGCCGGTGCACCGTAGTCAATGAGCGAGCTTATAGCTTATATATAGTACAAGCGAAGTACATCTTTGCTTGCCCCTGCATGGTGCCTCGTCATGGCTCTCATGGCGTTGAGTCTGAGTAGAGCACGTGACCTGACATACTCGGCCTGTTTCTGAAAGGTCAGCTTTTTATCAATGTAGATTCCCAAGTACAGGTAGGAGCCTGTCCACTCAAGTTCTATATCCTGAATATGTAATCTATTCACAGGATCTGGTCCCTTGAACATCATTGCAAGAGATTTCTCGGCCGAGATCTTGAGGCCTAGTTCCTTGCAAGACTGCGTAATTAGGTCCAAAGCTCTATGAGCCTGTCGTTCTAAATTGCCTTTCCCATTCACTACGAGTGCAAGATCATCAGCATAGCTGAGGAGCTGTGTACCACTATGAAAGGGAAGGCTCACAAGTTCCTGCATAAGGATGTTAAAACAGGGTAGGAGCTGAGCACACCTCTCTTGTGGCGTACCATTTTCCAGGGATTTAAAGGAAGAGTAGTGTCCCTGAAAGCTGACACAGGCCTGCCTGCCCCTAAGGTAGGACTCTATCCAGGCCAGGAGGCGTCCTTTGAGATTCCCTTCCGAGATAGTATTGCCAGAATTGCTGTGTGGGTTGGCTAGCTCAAATGCCTTTTCAGAGGTCGAGGTAGACGACGATACTAGGTTTTTTGTTACTATCAGCAATCTGGCTTAGTAGAGTGGTTATGCACTCTGCTGTACCCACTCCTTTGGTGAAGCCAAATATGTGACGATGGAGAGGTCCAAGTTTCCATAGGAGGCGGTTTAACACCATCCTCTCAGCAGTCTTGGCTAAGCAGCTGGTCAGCGATATGGGTCTCATACTGCCTGGGTCCTTGGGCTTTGGAATTGGTACGATGGTAGCTTTCTTCCAAGCTTGGGGAGTGTCCTGGCCCCTCCACGACTTGTTAATGACGTCTAGTATGGCCTCCCATCCACTCTGCCCAGCCCGTGCAATCATGGAGTACGTAACACCATCGATGCCCGGGGCAGTGTCACCTGTGTTCTTAATGGCACGTCGGAGTTCCAAGTCCGTGAGGTCTTCATCAGTCACATCTTCCGACTCACATGCAGCTTGTATCGTTAGCTGGCGCTGTGGCAGAAGATCCATCTGTATATTCCGGATGTCCTGTGGGAGCTGAGTGGAGGCTCCCCTGGAAGTGAAAAGCTCCACTAGTTTCTCAGCTTCCTGGGATGGGTTCGGGTGTGCTGGTGGCCTTGGCTTGCTCTTGCCAGTTGCTATGTTGAGCTTGCCCCATATCTCAGATAGTGTGATGCCCGAATGTTGAGCACCACTCCAGCCATTTCTCAGTTTTTACTCTGAGAGAGAGACTGCGGGCATGCTGCACAATGGCTCTCAGAGTATTCCTGTTCTCTGCTGTAGGGTTATGCCTGTATAGCTTCCTAAAAGAGTTGATGCGGTGGTTCTGTTCCCACACCTCGTCGTTGTAGAACCACCAGTCTCTCTTGTGAGTGCGTCCTGCGTACTTCTTTGGAATTGCACACTCTGCTGCCTGGGTGAGAACAGTGATTAGCTCCTGTTCAGCCGTATCACAGTCTTCAGATAGAGAGTATGTGGATCACCAGTCATGAAGATAATCCTGGAACACCTTCCAGTTGGCCCTCTTTACGTCCCATCTAGGAGGCAGCACAACTGTGGGAGGCCTGTTGATGTTGAAGGTGGTGATCACTGCAAAGTGGTTACTGATAAGGTGAGGATGAGTTTCCCATGTGGCTCCTGCTGCGAGTTGTCTTGACCCGAAGGTAAGGTCGAGGCAGCCACCCAACAGGTGTGTGGGGTCTCCATTGTTTAGCAACTTTACCTCTGGAATATCGTGTAGGAGCATTGCTGTGTGTCTGCCAGCAGCATTGGTTGCTGAGTGAGAGTGCAGCATTGGGTGATGTGCGTTGAAGTCTCCACCCACAATAATACACTCAGTGCATGCTAGTGCGAGGAGCTCTGCAATGTCGAGGGTGTGTCTTGGGTTCTTGTAGATGTTATAGATGGTAATGGGCACCCCAGGTATGTGCACAAGGATGGCCTGTACCTCGACATCCTCCCCACAGTCCACAGGGTTGGCTATAACCTCGTGAGGTATTGTATTGGATACAAATACAGCTGTGCCTCTGCAGTGAATGCCCGGGTCCATGTGCTGAAAATACCCAGCAAAACCGGGTAGTCTTGGGCATATAGTCAGGACAGTTAGAGTTTCTTGCAGCAAGACGATGTCAACCTGATCCCGAATTGCTGCCTCCAGCAAGAGGT